CCCTGGATGGAGACTACGCGCCGCATCGCCAAGGACCGGCTCTCAGGTGAGCGGGCGGGACCGCTACCGGCGGCTTTTGACGGCTCCGGGGCTCGCAGGACACCGGCGGCTCCCGGGGCTCCGTCGAGGCGGTGCGGCGCGGCGGGCGCGGCGCGGGTCGGTGCGGGTGCGGGGACCGGCCAGGCACGGCGGGGACCGGCCAGGCGCGGCGGGGACCGTGAGCTCCGCCGGTTCTCACCGCACCCGGTCCTCGCCCGCCGCCGTCGGGGCCCGCGGGAGCGGCTGGGGGCTGGCGCGGCCACCGGCGGCTCCACCGCGGCACCGAGCGGGGTCCGGGGGCTCCGGGCGGCGCCTGAGGGGTCCCACCGGGCTCCGGCCTCGGGCTGTGCTCCGTGTCCGGTCCCTTCCCTGGTCCCAGGGTCGCCTTGTGCTGCCCCTGTCCCACGGTAACGGGGAGGCTGCCGGGGGCTGCGGCAGCCGGGGGGTGGGGTGGGGGCTCTGCAGGGCGCGGGGTGGGAGCTCTCTTGGCGCGCGGAGCGGGGTGGGGGCTCTGTGGGGAGTGGGATGTGATGAGGGGTCTTCGTGGGGACAGGGTGTGGAGTGGGGGGGACCTGCCATGGGACTGCAGGACAAAGCCTGTCTGTGTCCGGAGCGGGTGCCCCAGACCCAGGAGCCCCAGGGAACAGGGGCGATGGGGGTGGCTGTCTGTGGGATGTGTGGGGATGGGATCCCCAGACCAGCACGTGCAGGAATTGGCACAGAACAGAGGGTGCCGGTGCTGTGGGACAGGCCAGGGCGGGCCTGTGCTGGGGCCGGGGCGAGCAGGCAGCCACACAGGTGTCAGGGAGGCGGTGAGGGGTCCCGATGGGGCTGAGTGCCGTGCTGAGGGCTGAGCACCGGTGCTGGGGCAGGGATGCTGGTTGCTGCAGCCCTGAGGAGCACGAGCAGGTGCTAAGTTTCGGGGTCCCGGGCACCGGGGCCGTGTGCGGGTGCCGGAGACCCCCAGCCCGGCTCGGCTCCCGCCCAAGATGGCGGCACTGCCACATCTGCGGCGCGGCCGCGTGCGGGGACGAGGCCGGGGCCACGCGGGGCCGGGGCCATGCGGGGCCGGGGGCCGAGCGCCAGCCACAGTGTGATGGGACGGTGTGGGATGGGAGGCTGGGGACAGTGGGGGTCCCACCCGGGTGCCAGCGGAGCCGTGTTCGCCTCCCGGCCCGCCCCGCCATCGCGGCGGTGACGAAGCGAGCGCCGTCCCCGCGCAGGGGTGGTGGGTGACGTCCTCGTCTCCTGCCTGGCGCCAGCGGAGGGTGGACGGGGCGGCCCCTCCCAGCACGGGGTCTCCCAGCCGCAGCCATCACTCAGCGCTGGCCCTGGGGTGGGCTGCGGGCGGGCGGCATCTGGTCCCGGCGAGGGGAGGGGGTGCGGGGGCCTCCGTCCCCCCGACTGCGCGGCTCCACCTGCGTCAAACATGTCCGCCCCCGCCGGCGGGCAGGCGGCCTCCTGGGCGCGGGCGGGAGGGAGGGTCTGTGGGCGTCAGGGGGTCCCCGGGGTGCTGTGGGCTGTGCCCCGTGTCCTTGTGCCATGGGGGGCCAGGGCCCGTGGTCACCCTTGGTCCGGGCCACGTGTGCCCGTGCTGGTGCTGGTGATGGCCACGTTGCCACAAGGTGCCATAAGGCTGTGGTGCCACAGGGCCGTGGGGCCATGGTTTGGCCATGGCTGCTACTGGAGCAGGAGGGCGGTGGGTGTTGGGTGCTGACCCTGCCCCACACCACTTCGCTGCCATGAAGCTGTGGCTCCGGCTCGATTCGGGAATGCGACACCCTGGCCCTGTCAGGGCTGGCTCACACCTCCTCTGGGAAGGGACAGCCCCTTCCCCGGCCCCTGGCACTCCGGCAGCTGCTGTTGGTCAGCCCGGGCACTGCTGGCACATGGAGGCAGATGCCGGGACATGGAGGGAGACACCGTCTGCCTCCTGACACACGCTGGGGTCCCACCCCCTGCCCGGGAGGGCTGGGCAGACCCTGCAGCGTCGCAAAGGCTCCTTGGGGGCTGTGGCAAGGCTTGGTGTGTGGGGAGGGTGGGTTTGTGCAACTGGAGCCCGACTGTCCTGCATCAGCCCTGTGACCGGAGCGGCCCATCCGCCCCGTCCTGGTGCCACCACTGGGCTGGGGAGTGATCGTGCTGCGGCTGTGTGGTGGGAAAGGGTCCTCCCTTGAACCACCTCTCGAGCTGCCCCTGGGTCCCTGGGCTCGGGGAGCAGGTAGGGATGATTCAGGGCGTCCCCCTCCCCTCCTCTCCCCAGCAGCACCGGTGGCCTCCTGGAGCTCCCTGTCCCATGGGCCCCCAGAGCTCCTCATCGCCATGGTTCCCCCCCCAAGCTCCCTTTCCCCATGGCCCCGAGCTCCCCAGCATCCCCCCGGGCTCCTGCTCTGCCCTGCTGTGCTGGGGCTCCCCCAGAGCCCCCCCATCACCCCGCTTTCCCCACAACAGCCGCACTGTCCCCCTTCACGGCCACGCGGCGCATCGGGCACCCCTACCAGAACCGGACACCGCCCAAGCGCAAGAAGCCGCGCACGTCCTTCTCCCGGGTGCAGATCTGCGAGCTGGAGAAGCGCTTCCACCGGCAGAAGTACCTGGCCTCGGCCGAGCGTGCCACCCTGGCCAAGGCACTCAAGATGACGGATGCCCAGGTCAAGACTTGGTTCCAGAACCGCCGCACCAAGTGGAGGTAACAGGGATGGCCTCGGGGCAGCTGCCACGACCCCCACATCCCTCCGGCAGCCCAACCCCACATCCCTTTGGCAGCCCTTCCCCGGGACCCCTCCAGCAGCTGCCCCCCTCTGTGGCCAAGCCCCCCCATCCCGGGAGAGGCTGGACTGGGGAGGGATGGGACGCCCATCACCGTGGCATCCCCTGTGCCTGGCTGGATGAGGTCTGATGGTGTCGTGGGATGTGCCACACCGGCACAAGGCGGTGCTGAGGGGTGAGGGACAAGGGGCAGGGCTGAGGGCAGTGCCACGCTGACACACGGTGGTGCTGGGGGATGAGGGACAGGGCTGTGGGGCAGTGCCACACTGACACACAGTGGTGCTGAGGGACAAGGGGCAGGGCTGAGGGCAGTGCCACACTGACACACAGTGGTGCTGAGGGATGAGGGACAAGGGGGAGGGCTGCGGGGCAGTCCCACGCTGACACACGGTGGTGCTGGGGGATGAGGGACAGGGCTGCGGGGCAGTGCCACACTGACACACAGTGGTGCTGAGGGACAAGGGACAGGGCTGCGGGGCAGTGCCACGCTGACACACGGTGGTTGTTGGGGACAAGGGGCAGGGCTGTGGGGCAGTGCTGGCAGTGCCAGCTGCAGTCTGTACCACGGGTGGGTATCTGCAGGCGTCAGACGGCGGAGGAGCGCGAGGCGGAGCGGCAACAGGCCAACCGGCTGATGCTGCACCTGCAGCAGGAGGCTTTCCAGAAGAGCCTGGCGCAGCCCCTGCCGCAGGACCCGCTCTGCATGCACAACTCCTCGCTCTACGCCCTGCAGAACCTCCAGCCCTGGGCCGAGGACAACAAGGTGACGTCGGTCTCGGGGGTGGCCTCGGTGGTGTGAGGGCCCCGGGTGTCGCCGACGTGCCGGGAGGTGGCAGTGGGAGCCCAGCCCGCAGCAGGGAGGGGACTGCGGCTTCCTGGGGACCTCCCATGGGCAGCCCCCTCCCTGCCACTGACAACCCCCTGGGACCCCCCAGCTGGGTGGCCGTGCCCCTGCAATTGGACTCAAAGCTTTACCAAATCCCACGTGGAGCAGTGCCGTGGGCAGCCCCCTGCTCGGACCCCTGGGAGCCCACAGACAGGCCCCTACACCCTGCGGGGCTCTGCAGCCCCCCCACCCCAGGGTCTCTGTGCCAGGGCAGCTCCTTGGGGGTCCCTGCTCAGGACCTGCTGCCAACCCACCAGCGGCTCCATGAGTCAGGCTGGGGCAGCCACAGTCCCTGGCCCACCTGGAGCAGGGCACAGTGTGGGCATCCCGTTCCTGGTGCTGGGACCTGCTCCCCCCCAGTGGGGTCTGCACCCACCACACCACTTGCCTTATCCCTGGAGTTTGCCACCTCCGGCTTCCAGCTGCACCCACCGTGCTGGATGAAGAACTTGGCCACTCTGGCTCCTCCCCAGTGGTGGGACAGACTGACGGACTGGGCCCCTGGCCCTGCACCCACCCATCTGTCGGCTCCCTGGGCCCGGACGTGCCCCCACGGCCCCCATCACGGACTCGGGGTGCTCCCTATGCCGATGGATTGCACCAGCCCCTGACTCCCCCTGGTGCCCCCATCACCCCCCACAGACTGAGCCTTCATGACCCACAGCACACTCGTGGGGGGGCGGAGGGGCTGAACCCCCCCTCCTTTGGGGAATCTCTGTGCCCCCTCCCCAGTGACCCCCTCAGTGGAGGTTTTCCCCTCCCAAGACCTTCCAGCCCCACTCTGGCCTCGATTGGTGATGATGGTGGGGAGGAAGGGGGAGAACAACGATGACCTTGACCCCGAACTTGACCTTGCCCCCCACCTGACTGCTGTCCACGATGCTGCGGCCCCTCGCCCCACTTTTGGGGGCAGGCTGCTGCCGGCCCCCCACCTCCGCTGCCGCCGGGAGGAGCCGGGCAGCCGGTACCGGCGGGATTGGCTGCTGTTCCGTGACGCGGGGGGGGAGTGGAACAGCATCACCACCGGGATGAGCGCGGCCGAGGGCCGGCCCCGGTGCCGGTGGGGCGGCGGCGGCGAGGCGGTTCTCCGTGCCCGTGCCGAGGCTGCCGGTTACCGGAGGCTGCTGCGAGCCCGAGCCGCCGAGGTGGAGGCGCTGCGCGGGGCGGTGGGCGCGTTACACCGGCAGCTGGAGGGGCTGCGGGACCGGCGGAGCGGGGAGCTGGCCAAGTACCAGGTGCGGGGTGGGAGGGGGTCGGGGAGCGCCTGGGGGGCTGGGAGGGAGCGGGGGGCTGGGATGCGAGGAGGGGGTGGATGTTTTGGGGGGGAGGAGGGGTGGTGCCGGGGCTGGATGCCCGGAGGGATGGGGCGAAGGGGGAGGATGGGGAGGGGCGGGGTCGGGGGGTCCCGATGGAGCTGAGGGGCCCGGGGAGGCAGCGGGAGGGGGCGAGGGATGGCGCGGGGGTGTTCGGGTGGGGCGGGGGCTGAGGTGTCCGTGTGGGTGGGTGTCGGTGCGGGGCTGAGGATCCCGAGGTCCATGCGGGGCGGGGGCCGGGCCAGGGATCCCGGGAGTCCGTGTTAGGCGGGGTTCGGATCGGGGGCGGGGGTCGGGCTGGGGGTCCCTGTGGGGAGGATGTTCGGCCGCGAGTCCCGGGGGTCTCCCCGCGGTCTCGGCGCTGCTGACGGCCCGGCTCAGGAGCGGGTGGCGGAGCTGGAGCGGGAGATCGGGGCGGCGGAGGCGGAGATGGCCCGGTGCCTGCGGGAGTACCCGGCGCTGCTGCGGCTGCGGATGGCGCTGGAGGCGGAGATCGCCGCGTACCGGTACGCGGGGGGAGGCGCGGGGGGCGCGGGGAGCGCGGGGCTCAGCCCGGCCCTTCTCTTCCAGGGAGATGCTGGAGAGCGAGGAGCTGCGCCTGGGCGGTCTGGCCCCGCCGTGATCGGACCCCCGGAGCCCCGGTCCCACCACTGGACCCGCCGTGACCACCGGACCCCCGGCACCGTGACCGGACCCTCAGCCCCACCACCAGACCCCCCGTCCCGCTGTGACCGGACCCCGGTCCCTCCACCGAACCCCAGACCCTCGACTCCTGTGCCCCAGGACCCCCGACCTCGGGCCGTGGTACCCTCGGACCCTCTGGATCCCTCTGGACTCGCAGAGTCTTGGTCCTTCTGCCCCCTCGTGCCACGGGCCCCCAGACTCCTGTGCCCCCGCCTGCCCCCTGTCCCGGGACCCCCGGGAGGGCAGCGCCCGCGGGGCCACACACTCACCAGCCTCTCTGGGGTGGGGGTCCCGGCCCAGACCCGTGGGCAGCACCTCAATAAAGCTCCGTGGCATCACCCGGAGCCGACCCGTCTTGGGGCTGGGGGGGTTAGGAGGGGGGGCAGGGGGCAGGACCCCGGCCAGGAGCCCCCTCTGCGCTCCGGGGGTCTGTGGCAGACCAGAGGCCCGGGGGGGCTCCAAGGGGAGGAGCTCAGGGGATGGGGCCTGGGCTCCATCCGAGTTGGTGCAGCCCCTCAGCCCCGGGCTGGGCACCCCCCCGAGCACCGAGGGGGCCCAGCCACAGCTCCAGTGGGAGCTGAGCCCCCCACTGCTGTCGGGTGACCCCTGGCCCCCCCACTGGTGCCGTGACCATGTCCTGCTCTAGGGCTGGTGCTCCTGGGGTCAGGACAGGATCCTGCTCCCCGGGACGCGGGAATGGGGTGCTGTCCCTCAGGACTTGCTCCCTGGGTGCTGCCCCTGAGGCTGAGGATGTTGCCCCGCTTCAGCCTCCAGAAAGGAGGCAGATCTGTGGGGGTTAGTGAGGATTAGGGGGGTCCCGGACACCGGGGGGTAGCTGGGCAGGGCTGTGGGGACCCTCCACCTGGGCTGTCCATGAGCTGGGCTGGCACATGTAGGGAGCCTGTTCCAGTCATACAGAAGAACCCCAGGGCCAAGCCCTGCGCTGGCCAGGAGCCCTCTGGGGAGTTGTGGGGGCCCAGCACCCCCCTGCCCACACAGACACAGACCAGGGTTTGTGGTAGCAGAGCCAAGCCCAGCGCTTTAATAGGGGGGAAAAACCCTCTTTTTAACAAGGGAAAAAGCCTTTTCTGAGCAGTACAAGGGAGAGCAAGGTGGGTGCTGGTGCCTGTCCCACGGTGGCTGTCCCGCTGGGGTCCCCCCAGCCCCAGGTGTGCCCCTGGAGGTTTGGGGAGGGGAGGGAAAGGGTGCTGGGGAAAGGAGATGTCCGTGCGTGGGGTCAGCGTGCTCAGTGCCAGTGTCATCGAGGTGTGCTGAGGTCCTGCCAGGGGCTCCAGGGGCTCCAAGCCAGGGGGCTGTAGGGGTCCCGGCAGCTGATGCGCACCCGCTGTGCCCCCACCTGCACCTGCGTCTCCTCCACGCCCTCCACGAACCGCTCAACCTGCAAAGGGGGTGGGTCACGGCCGGGGCAGATCCTCGGGCAGGGGGGAGCCACTGCAGAGGAGTGGGGGGCAGAGCTGGGGGGAGCAGAGGGGACAGCCAGGGGTGACAATTCATTGCCTCAAGGAGAGAAGCAGCAGAGTGGGGAGGGGGCCACGGCTGAACCTGCAGAGTCCCTGTTCCCGATGCTCCCCCCGTACAGGGAAGAGTCCAGGATGGGGCGGGGTGGGGACACGGGGCAGGGTGGGCGCGTGTGGGGTCCGGCTGGGCAGGGACCCCCGTTACCTGGGTGCCATTGGGGAGCTCGTACTGCAGATGGTAGAGCAGCACAAAGTAGGACGTGGGGCGCTGCCAGGAGGCGGGGGGTGCCCAGGCCAGGTGGAGCTGCTCCCCCAGCCACCGCAGGCTCAGCTCCTGGGGCGGGTCCGGACGCACTGCGGGCAGGGGGGGGGCTCAGGATGGGGGCTGAGCCCCCCTCAGAGCCCCCAGTGCCCCTTGAACGTCCCCATCCCTCGGGCTGCTGCCGCCCTGAGCTCACCAATGTCGCGGAGGAAGAAGTGCTTGGAGAGGCTGAGGTAGGAGGTGTCTGAGAGCCCCTCCAGGTGCAGCCCCAGCGGACGCAGCTCCTCGGCGAAGGGGCAGAAGGAGGGGTCGGCCAGGCTGGCGTTGAACCGGCCGTGGCCCCCGGCCACCGGCACCCACGGACCCACGGAGCCATCGCTGCGGGGAGGGAGGCGTGAGCAGGGGGGAGGGCTGGGCGGCCGAGGGGCTGGGCGGGTTTGGGAGGTCCCTGGACACCCACCTGCGTGTGAGGCGGGCACGGAAGACGGCAGAGGGGGGCCCGGGCCAGGAGCAGTGGAAGGAGCCGTGGTAGGACTCAGCCTGGCAGGACACGTCGATCTCCTCCTCGCCTGGGGAGCCGAGGGGGGTCAGGGGGTGTGGGGCCGGGAGCGATGCCCCCTCCCTGCACAGCACTGGTGAGGCTCCCCCGGCCCCAAAGCCCTGCCCGGTGCAGCCCCGTGGATGGCACATGAGCAGCTCTGGGTCCCCAGCCTGTCCCTGCCCCCCATCACCCCCCTGCCCGGGCTCTCCCGGCCGTGTCCCTCCTTACGGGCATCGCTGAGCACCACGTAGGTGGTGTCCAGCAGGACGGGGCCGGCCCAGCAGCTGTAGTTGCCCGTGGCCGGCAGGTCTAAGCCGAGGATGGTGAGGTTCCGGCCCTCAGGCTCCAGCTCAGCCATGGGGTCCTGCTCCCCGTTCAGCGTCCAGCTGATGTGCGGCTCCAGCGTGTCACACTGCACCACCACATCCTCGTTCAGCTGCCCCACCTGGACTGGGGGGGAGAGGCAGAGCCTGGGGTCAGACATGGGCTGTGGTGGGGGCAGCTTGTCCCTCACACCAGCGTGGGGCTGGGTGCCCTTCAGCCATCCTGCCCCGTGGTCCCCACCCTGCTCCTGCACCCCAAATCCATTCCCATCTGTCCCATCACCCCACATCCATCTCCCTGCTCCTGCACCCCAAATCCATTCCCACCTGCTCCATCCACCCCCCCACATCCGTCCCCCCTCTCCCTCACCCCACGGCCACCCCCCTATCACCCTCATGCCCTCTCTCAACTCCCTCAGCAGAGCTGTCTGACCCCTGTCAGAGGGATGCAGGATGGGTGTACCCCCTGCTCCCTCCAATCGGTGTGAGGCCCCTGTAGCCCCCTCCCCCTGGGAGGTTCCCCCTCCAGGGCCTCCCCCGTGCTCGGGGGGCAGCAGCACTCACACTTTGGGGGGAAGGCAGTCAGGGTGTCCACAGGCACGAGGCACAGCACCAGCCCCACCAGCCCCAGCATCTGGGAGGGGAAGGGGAAGAGAAGGGTAGGGGAAGGGCAGCCCCGGGGTGGGGGGCTGGACGTACCCTGGGAGAGGGGCAGAGCCAGCAGGGCCACCAAAGGCAGAGTCCCCGGCCGTGGGAGCAGCATCCCCGAGCAGGACACCCCCGAGATCCCCCAGTCACCCCGGGACCCCCCACCCTCCTGTGCTGTGCCTACCTCTGCGCCCGCTGCTCCAGTGGCTCCGGTGGGCACGGCACGGCCGGGGGCTGTGGATTTATACCGGGCTGGACTCCACGGGGGTGCCCCAAGGTGCAACCACAGCAGCATCACAGTTCTCAGAAGTGGAGAGAGGCGGTGTGGGACCCATGCTCAGCCCCCCACCCACCCACCCGGCCCCAGGACTCACCGCTGGTACTTCCCAGGCAGGGGTCACCAGCACCTCCTGCCCTGACCACTGGAGGACAGGTCACCCCAGGAATGGCCAGGCGAGGGGCAGCAGGGGCACACAGGACAGTGCCGGGGGCCTGGGTGGTCCCAGCTCCTCCAGAGGGGTCCTGAGCCCCTGCATGCCACCATATGCCCCACAGAGCCCCCCCAGCACCCTGCCATGGGGTGGGACCATCAGCGGTCCAGTGTGGCCATCTGAGGTCCATCAGCACTGGCCCCTGAGGTCCATCAGCTGGGCCCTGCTGGCTGGGCCGTGGCACAGGTTGTCTTGTCCCTTCCCTCCCCTCTTTGGGCCACTGCACATCCCATGGGACGCTGTACAGGGATGGGGTCGCAGGGACAGAGGCCACCGTGGCCACCAGCCACCCTCCTTTGTCATTGCAACCACTGCCAGCCCGGGGTGAGGGCACAGGGCAGCCCCTGCCCCGGGAAGGGGAGTGCTGCGCCTGCTCATGGACTTTCTGGGGCTCCTAGAAAGCAAAGGGGAAGTGGGGGCTGCGGGAGCCTTGGGGGAGCCCAGCCCTCACCTTTCGAGTCTCTGTGGCCAGCACAAGGCAGGGGAGCCTCCAGGCCCCCTCCTGAGCAGAGTCAAGCCCCTGTGCATGGGCCGAGGGGAGGGAAGGGGGAGCCAGGACCCCCGACCCCCCAAGCGGAGGCTCAGCCCTCGGCTGTAGTGCCAGGGCTGTAGGGGATCCTGAGGCTGGAAGGGGGGACCACAAGAGGGGAGGGAGGAGGGCGGGCACCTCGCCTGGGGGTGCACCCATGCCCTGTCCCATGCTGGGGGAGGAGGCACTGGCAGCACGTTTAGGGGGTTGCTCACCCCCCCTCGCTGGCCACAGCTTCCCCTTGGCTTCTGCAGAAGAACCACAAGCAGGGAAGGGAAGCCCCGGTGAAAAGGCCAGGGCTGCCCTCAGACCTCAGCGTGGCTGGGGACCCAGCACTACACTCAAAACAGAGGTGGGAGGGGAGAGAGGCCTCGCAGACAGAAACTCCCCAGAGAGAGCAGCAGAGACAGAGCCTGTCCCAGTCAGACCCCTCTGGGACATCCCACAGCAGGACAGACCCCACCCCAGCTGGACCCCTCGGCTGCAGTCACGGACACGAGGCCAGGAGCAAAGGTCACAAAACTTTATACAGGAGGGACCCGCGTGTGGGCCCTCGGCCCTGGGCGTGGGGGCAGCAGGACAAGCGGTGCCTCCACCCCAGCAGAACCCTGGCAAAAGACAGGGGGAAGGAGCCCGGTGGGGAGGGCCCACACGACTCCCCCGGCCGGGGCCAGCACTCCCCAGCCCGTGCTCTGAGGTGCCACGGTGGCCCCACGGCCGCTGGCCCACGACTGCCCGCGGTGCAGCGCCGAGGCCGTGCCCGGTCGTGCCCGCACCTCCCCGGGGCCAGGGACAGCCCCCGCGGCTGCACGGCCCCCCCAGGGACCCTCCAGGGCTCCCCCATCTCCAGCGTCACAGCCAAGCCCAGGCAGCCCCCGCTGGGGCTCTGGTGCCCCGGCTCACTGCAGGACACAGACATCCCCCTCCACAGCCTCCCGCCCGGCCGCCTCCGCCAGCGGCTCCGGCCCCGCTGGCACATCCTCCGTGGCCACCACCTTCTCCCGCAGCTCCATCAGCAGGTCCCGGCCCTCGCTGGGCGGCAGGTTGCTCAGGTAGTACTGGGGGGCCAGCTCTGCCAACCTACGGGGACAGGGGGCCAGTCAGCAGCGGGGACCCCCCGGAGGGCCCCGTCCCTCCCCGTCCCCCAGCCCTCACATCTGGGGCTGGATCTCGGAGACCACGCGCAGGCAGTTGTCCTGGGAGATGGTGAACTCGTGGTAGAGCACCCATGGGGGCAGGCGGCGGGGGGGCGGCCGCAGCAGGTACCCGCAGGCGGGGGCCAGGTGAGCCACGTGTTTGTGCGTCAGCATCACGTAGTTGCCGGAGCCGTCGATGTCCCGGGCGACCTGGGAGCGGAGCAGGAGGGAGCGGGGTGGTGGCTGGCACACACCCCCCGCTGCAGCCCCCCGCGGGCCCCGGACCCACCTTGAGGAAGTACCCAGAGATGAGGGCCCGCTGGATGTTGAGGGCGTTGGCGTCGGAGCCGAAGGCGGGCGGTGAGACGGGCAGCTCGATGCGCCGCATCACCTCCAGCAGCTCGGCCCGCACGGTGCCCGCCAGGCGCAGCCCCTCTGCGCCCACCCCGTGCTTCCGGCACCAGCCCTCGTCCCCGGCGTCTGCGGGACAGTGGGGTCAGTGGTGGGGGGACAGGGATGGGACAGTGGGGTCAGTGGTGGGGGGAAAGGGATGGGACAGTGGGGTCAGCAGTGAGGGGACAGGGACGGGACAGTGGGGTCAGCGGTGTGGGGACAGGGATGGACAGTGGGGTCAGTGGGGTGGGGACAGGGACGGGACAGTGGGGTCAGTGGGGTGGGGACAGGGACGGGACAGTGGGGTTGGCAACACGGGAGGAGAGATGGGACAGCAGGGTCAGTGATACAGGGACGAGAATTAGACGGCAAAGTCAGTGACATGGGGAGAGGACAGTGGTGCCAGTGACACAGGGATGGGGACGGGGGGAGCAGAGACAGAGGGCTGGGGGCTCAGGGGTTACAGAAGCTGGCACAGCTCCCACCGGCTGCATCCCCTTCCCTGCACCAGGGACAGGGACCAGGCTGGGGCTGGGACCGCCCCCAGACCCTCGTGTGGCTGGGCTGGGGACAGGTGAGGGGGCTGTGGGGTGCCTGCCGGGGTACAGGGGCCACGCAGGGCAGCTGTGGGACAGCCACAGGGGTGCAGGGGACACTGAGGGGTCCGTGGGACGCCCACAGGGGTGCAGGGGACTCTGAGGGGTCCGTGGGATGCCCACAGGGGTGCAGGGGACACTGAGGGGTCCGTGGGACGCCCACAGGGGTGCAGGGGACACTGAGGGGTCTGTGGGACGCCCACAGGGGTGCAGCCCCCCGCCCGCAGCCCCTGCCCATGCTCACGCTGCTGGAAGGCGTTGAAGATGTTGATGAGGGTGAAGTGGTCCCCGTTGGGGTGCAGCAGTGCCCGCCGGCGCAGAGCCACGGCCTCCTCCAGGTGTGTGGGTGGGGGCACGAAGCAGGGGGACGCTGGGGGCGGGCAGGGGGGTCACGGCGTGCCCCCAGCCCCCCCCCTGCAGCGCTGGCTGACCCCCCCACGGTACCTGTGAGCATGGCAGCCAGGCTGACCATCTCCTCCACGCAGTCGAACTCGCAGGAGGCGATGAGGGCCTTGGCCAGCTGCGGGTCCAGCGGAAACTCCGACATGATGATCCCCACCTCCGACAGGTTCCCGTCGTCGTCCAGAGCCGCCAGGTAGTCCAGGTCCTCCAGCGCTTGCATCAGCGACTCGGGGGCTGGGGTGGGATGTCAGGCAGCTCTGCCCACCCTCCTCCTACAGCTGCCAGGCACCCCAGCCCCTCTCCAGAGACAATCCAGGCCACAGTCATGGCCGTGGTCATGGCAGCCCTCTGGCACAGCTCCCCACAGCACGCCTGGTCCCTACCTCACCCCACAGGCCCTACCTGGGCGGTCGAGGAAGTCACACTGGCCCATGTCAGCGATGTCCAGGCGCTTCAGCAGCAGCACGAGGCGGCTCAGGCTGGTCTCGCTGACGTGGGGCGCGGGGCTGGGGGGCAGGCGCTGCTCGAAGGCCTCCGAGTACAGGCGCAGGCAGGTGCCTGCAGGAGAGGGGCCATGAGGTGGGACGTGGCTGAGAGGGTGGGACAACAGCCCCCGGGGGGGGGCATGGGGGCAGGGGTCTCACCCGGGGGGCTGCCAGCTGCCCGCTGCATGCGTGACTCCGCCTGGCTCCGGCTGATGGGCCGCAGCACCTGGGACTCGGCGCGGATGCGAGGGTTGTACACCTGCGGTGAGGGTGTGAGGGGGACACCGCAGGGGAGCCCCCACCGTCCCCCAAGGCCCCCCTGCCTGCCAGTGCAGGGCCACCGCTGCCACCTCCCTCATCCCGGCCTGAAGCACCACTGAGCGGACCCTGCAGCCCACCCCTCACCGTGCCTGGAGCAGAGCCAACCCTCTCGCTGGGGCTCCCCCCCCTCCGTGTCCCCCATCCCACTCACGCTGCGCAGCTCCAGCCCCGAGTCGATGACGAAGCGCACGGTGCCCAGGGAGAAGGAGGAGTCCCCGAGCCAGTGGGTGACGATGACGCGCCGCTCCCGGCTCTCCTCGGGCGCCTCGTACAGGCGCTGTGCGGCCCGGCCCACCCCGGGGTGCAGCGGCAGCACCAGCAGCGGGCCCAGCGCCGGGCTCAGCGCCACGGCCTCCGTCTGGATGGCAGCACAGCACTCTGAGATCTCCTGGGGAAGGACGGGGGGGCACACACCCCACCCTGAGGTCAGGGTGCCGCTCTGTGCCCCGCACCCGTTTCCACCGCCCACCAGCACCCACAGCCCCTCTGCGGAGGAGCCCCAGCTTCCCTAGTTTGGTCTCCAGCACCCCTTACCATCCTCAGGGCTCCCCACTGAGAGGGACCCCCCCGAGCCTCTCCTGCCCCGTTCCCCCCACGGCTCACCTGCTCGCTGGCCAGGAAGATGAGGACGTGGCCGGGCTCCTGGCGCCGGTGGATGTCCAGCACGGCCTGGCAGGCAGCGGCCACGTGCCCGCGGGCCGGCGGCTCCCGGTAGAGCAGCAGTGGTGGGGGACCGTGCCCCGGGACCCGCACCACGGGGGGGTCCCCGCAGAAGGCGCGCAGCCGCGGCTCCAGGGCGGGGGCCGTGACCACCACGAGCCGCAGGGCCGGGCGCTGGCGCAGCACGTCCTTGAGCAGCCCCAGCAGCGCGTCCGTGGGCACCGTGCGCTCCTGCGCCTCGTCCAGCACCACCACCCCGTACTGCCGCAGCAGCGGGTCCGACGTCATCTCCCGCAGCAGCATCTCGTCCGAGCAGAACCTG